TGATTGGTTGCCACTTCTAGTCAGTAACTTTAAATTAGGGGTGGCTATGCCTGAACACTAAAAGTCTCTAACCAGGACATCTAACCTATGCATTGCAAAAGATATCGTTCAGGTTGAAATACCAAATACCAAAAATACTTTCAGTGATAATAATGGTTATGTTATTACTCAGTGTCTTACAAAGTCTTACGATATTCAGTTAATCAGACTTCAAAAGTCTTAGCCAAAATGTTCGCATGTTTTGTACAAATAATATAATTATTATTAAGATGGAGTGCAAATACACTTAGTACTGTCAAACTAACAAATACGTGTTATACTAAACATCTACATGTGTAATTTGTATAATGAGATAGGTTCTATTGACATCATGGTCGATTTATTAGAACAGCAAACAATTGTATCAGACACCTGTAGAAATATGTGTAATTCAACATTTCACCTATCCCAACAAAACATTACCAAAACATATATAATGAAACAATACAACATCAGTTATTACAAATAGTGTCTGTAACCTTATGTCAGTTCATATTAAACATTCAGTACTTGATTGGTCCTCCTCGTACACTAATAATCTCCACAAGGTGACGTGGCATGCTGTCGATGAGGTTATTGATGTAATCCACCGTGATTTCATACCAACTTCTTACTAGAAGACGCTACAACTCAGCTACAATAGCTGGTTTAGGTTGGTGGTTAGCAATGTTACGGCTCAGTTCTGCCCAACAGTTCTTAATGGGATTACAATCTGGATACTTTACTGGCCATGGCAATCTTGTAATGTCTTCATGGTCAAAATAATCCTGTATAATACTCACACTGTAAGCAGAGGCATTGTCATCCTGGAAAACAAAAGTATTGCCAAACCTTGCTCCAGAATACGGCAGAAATTTCGTCTCCATGTGATACCTGTAGGAAGCGCCATTGACGTTTCCCTGGACGATATGAAGAGCAGTTTTCCACCATGATGAATAGCTGCCCAAACATGTACTGTACCACCTCCTGATTGTTCTCTGTGAAAATGAGAGTCTTTTCTCATCTGTTCTCCAAGCAAACGACGAACATGAATTCTACCACCAGCTTTAACAAGCCGGAAACAGGAATCATCTGAAAAAATGACTTCTCGTCAGTGTCCTAACTGTAAGTTGGCATATTGTCTTGCCCAAGTAACACTATGACGGCAATGACTTCTGGTTAATATCGGTTTCCACATAGTCCTTCTTGCAAAGTGTCCTTGTTTGGCCAGTCTCCTATTCACCGTTCTTCTGGATACCATGCCATTCCTGTGGTAAGGTGTTGCCAGATATTTTAACCTGATCAAAACACGGTCATCTTGGGCAGTAGTTTTTGCCGTCTACCAGTAGACTTTCCTGAAATAACTTTTCCCGGAGTCCGATGACGTTTCAGAATTTTAGATACACTACACTGGCAGTACTTTTCTATTCTGGCAGTGTCCGTTTGCTTTATAGCATTTCTGTACAGTCGAACAATTTGAAGCCCTATAACTTCTGGCACGTGACGAGGAATGACTCTACACCAAGTACAGAGAAATTGTCTGAACAAAGCGCTGACCTGTTTCGAGAAAATTATACCAAAAGTACACCCTTTTATATAAAACAGGTGTGTATGTGTGTTTTGACGAAGAAATGCTCAAAACAACTTAACAGACCAGAATAACAACTTGTACATGTTTGTCCAATCATACGTTACCTTTTCTGTTACTGCTAGGCCACTTACTCAATAACTACGCCATGCATGTAGACAATAACATCAATATAGAATATTATGCAAACATTTTGGCCAAGACTGCATAACTACTTTTTTCAATAGTAATTAGTCATTCTATCACTTTCCACTATATCTAAACAATTAGTTTGTCATTTAACCTTAAACTTATATATATATATATATATATAATCTGTTTTTCACCACTCCTCAACGTGTCTAAAATAAATCATTATATTCTTAGCTTACAACACAAGGCATGACAAGTATATCACAGCGCTTCCTTTTTTCATTCGTTTGTCGCTGAGTTTATTATTTTCAAGTGTTCAGTGTTAGCCTTCTCGCTACAATCATTGGCTTAATATTTCGCTGTTATAGCACTTTAGTTTCAACTGGATTAGCAAACTCTTATGTTAACTATAGCTCCTAATGTATTTGTAATAGCGAAATATTGACTCAATAAACACATTCTGGAGTTTATGTCATTATTTAATTTACATTAATAGAACTGCCTGGAAATAAACTCTGGTTTGCGTTAAACGAAGTCAAGAATAATATGCCATGCATTTCTTGTGAAATAATCTAACAACTAGTCATTCTATATTTACGTTCGTATTGTTGTTAACCTTTATTCTCTCTCTACAGAACGTATAACTCCCTGGGTATTATTTTAACAATCGGATAATACTTTACTCTTTTTCCCTATTATTTTGAATATAATCGATTCCAGCATGACTTTATGTCTTTACAGACTTTTAGCCGTGCCACCACTTATCTTGACATTATTATTAACAATGAATTATTCACAAATATTGTTGAGTTCTTGACTATCTCTTTTTTAACAATCATCCAATGCAATGCACTTTTTAGTATTTTTAATAATCAGTATAGAAGTATTATTATTGACATCCATGAATTTTATCACTAGGGTTGATATTGTTATTAATTATAAGCTATTTGATTATGCTTATGGTAATTCCTATGAACAATCAAGCATTCTCTCACTGTTCTTGTTGTCATTATTATTGGTAGTCAATCGTGTTAATACCTTTCCAGATATTAATGCTAACAATATTATTTTATAGTTTGCTTGTTTGTTTGTAATTATGCGCAAAGCTACACAATGGGCTATCTGTGCTCTGCCCACCACGGGTATCGAAACCCGGATTCTAGCGTTGTAAGTCCGCAGACATACCGCTGTGCCACTGGGGGGCATTATTTTATAGATGAAAATACTATATCAGTGGTAGTGCATTAAAGAGAATTCCTAGAACACGTCCACGATATACACAACGTGGTCACAAGTAAATAGACACCACCTTTTCAGAAAAAATGAAATTTTTCAGTCATATTCACATGAATTGATATATTTATAATTTGATTAATATCTAGTAGATCTTCCTTTCGCTTCGTGGAGTTCGTCGATCC